GAAAGAAAGAAAGAAAAAGAAAGAAAGAAAGAAAGAAAGAAAGAAAGAAAGAAAGAAAGAAAGAAAGAAAGAAAGAAAGAAAGAAAGAAAGGAGGGAGGGAGGGAGACAAAAAGGAAGGAGGGAGAGAGGGGTGGAGAAAAGGAAGAGAAAGGGAAGGAAGATAAAACAGTGAGAGGTGACTCTGCACTTCTGTGCAGCGGCCACCAGCTAGCATACCAACAACATGAATCCTGTCCGGTGTGTGGAACATCCCATTAATGTGGGTGAAGATACAAAATAGTTTAATGCCACCTGTAGTGGATTTCTGATGAGTGGTCAACTTCTTACACCCAGCTGAATTGAACCAGCCTGGTGCTGGGAGTAGGAGGCGCACCTCAGGGTTGTTGCCAGCAGCATAAGAGGAACAGTTGGGGAAGCTGTTGAGAGGATGTTAGGGAAACTGTTGGAAAAACTGCTGGAGCTGTTGGAAGCCACTGGTGCTCTTGGGCTGTTCTGCTGAAGGACCTTGTCATGCTGGCTTTCCTGATGAACTAGGCTGTTCTTGCCACTGAAAGAGCTTAGGACCTTTCTCATCACCGAGAATGGCTGTGGTTCATTTTGAGGAGCTCTGGTCCTCATCTTGTGCATCACTTCCTGGCTCCAGAGGAGAAGATGGTGCATTGTTCAGTGTCCTTGAGAATCTTGCCATGTTGGCTTTCCTCATGGAAACTCAGCTTTCCTCATCGCTGGAGGAGCTTGGGACTTCACTGTTGCTGAAGATGGCTGTGGTGCTTCAGGGGAAGCTCTGGTACTAACCTTGAGCATTACTTCCTAGCTCCAGTTCAGAACCTTCATCCCACTGGCACAGACTTTCTAGCTTCCATCACTGACCTTTGGGCCTTCCCAGCACAGATCCATGAAACAGGCCTGTGGGAGACTTTGTCGTGGGCTCTGAGCCTCCAACTGGACTCGTGGGGGCATGTGATGAGCTATAAATTTTCAGCTGGACTCATGCAGGATACATTATTAGGATACAGGCCCTCAAATGGATTCTTTCATCTTTAGTGTGTGGACAGCTTTCCTGCACTCTGTATATGATTCTCTGGGTGAGTCATTATAAAGTAGTAATACACAATGTGTCCTGAGTTGTATTGTTCACCTTGAAAAAACCAAAAATCGTGACATCATTAGAAGGCACTTTGGTGGTTTCTGACAATGCTGAACACACATAACATACAACTCAGGAAGCACGTTTCTCAGTGTTTCCCCAGAGACTTTTGTCCACACAAAAATGTACTCGTGGTTGTTCACAGCAGCTGTATTCATAACTGCCAAACGTTGGCCCCAACTCAGACATTGAATAATGGATAAACTGTGGTGCACCCCAACCATGGCATATTGGCACTGAAAAGAAAGAAGCTAAGGAGCCGCGTAGGAAATGTAAATGCGTATCGCTAAGAGGAGGAAGTCAGTGTTAGAGCCTTACATACTCAAGGGCATGACATTCTGGACAAAGCAAAACTACAAAGCCAGTACAGCACTGGTGTTATGAGAGAGTAGAGACAAGGGAGGGAGGATGGCCCAGGGGTCTTCAGGGGGTGAAGATGACTCTTCATGAAACTGTAGTGGTGAGTACAGGTCGCTACACATTATTCCACCCACAGCATGCACAACACCAAGGGTGAGCAACCAATGGGCTTGGGGTAACAGTGATGACTCAGTGAAGGTTCACCTCTGCAAAAGCTTAGCAGTTAGTTGGTTGGGGGAGCGGCTATTAGAAGAGGCTGTGGAAGTGTGAAATCGTCATGTCTTATGCCAAATTTGCCATGAATCTAGAATGATGACTGTGAATGTTTACCTGGGCTGTGGGGGCTCACCTGAAATCCAGCACCCTCGGAGGCCAAAAGAGGAGAATCTCAGAGTTGAGGCTACACTTGGACATTTAGTAAAATAATGGGGGCCACTATTTATTTAGTAAAATAAAGGGAAAGGGATTAGCTGAAGAAGTAGCCCAGTAACAAAGTTTGGATTCAAGGCCAGTACTAAACAAATAAATAAATACCTATTAGGAAAAAAGTGAGGACATAGCCATCTCAGGTGTGCTGATGTGATACCATTGTGGCACCGTGAATTGCTTGGCATCTACTCCCATTGAGACAGAATGATCAGTGGCAAATGTGGTGTGGTAGACTGATGCATTGTCACCCACATTTTTATTTGTATTCCTGGGGAACTGAACCTAGGGTCATCCCACTAAGCTACATCCCCAGCCCACGTTTTATGTTTTACTTTGAAACAAGAGCTCATTATGTTGCGAAAGCTAGACTTGAACCTGGTATTCTCCTGGCTAACCTTGGAGAACACTGGGATTACAGGTCCGTACCAATGTGCCAGCAATGAGCCACTTATTAGTGCAGACAAGGGATGAATATTGGGTGGCAGGACAATCTGTATCAAAGGTCAACCTTTGGCTCTTCAGAAGTCCTTCAGAACTCCTCTGCAAAAACAGAAGACTAATCCCATCCTGCGGGGGGGACGGGTATCCCCAAAGCTTTGTGTTGGATCTTCAGACACAATCAGATCTGGATGTGTGTCTTGGTGGTAAGTGTCCTACAGACATAAAAGATTCCTCAACTTCCACAGACAGCCAAGGTATGATGGGGAAAGTAGGGAAGGTGTGGATATCCACAGTGGAAACTCCAATGAAGACAAAGATAAATGGGGATGATGCAGCAGGTGCTATGGTATTGCACTGAATTGAGGCCAGGGCTAGGAGGCAGGAGTAGGACTGCCTGGTCCTGGAGCTGGGTGATGTTTCTTAATTAGACCATGCAGAAGCACAGGTTCTCTGACCTAGAGGTTGTGCACTATCATTCGTGGCTTCTGGATTTTCCCTCCTGCACTTTTCCTTTGTTTCTTATTTTCTGTGTCCACATCTCAGTTGGGCCTCAAAGAGTACACATTTGTTGGGACATTGAAAGCAGGACTATGCAGGAATCAAGAATGTCAGTGAACCTTCTCAGACCCAAAAGCTACAACTCTTGTTGCACAGGTCCTGCTTTACCTTGGTCTTAACCATCCAGTAGAAAAGTATGAAGACGAAATATAGGAAGTAAAGCCATGTTGTTATGTTGAGCTGTGGGGGACTCAGGTCAATAATTTCTGACATTGCCAGTTAAACAGAAGACCCAATGCTATGATGGGCTACTGGACTCTTTTAGAATATTTCGCTGAGTTTACACACCTATAATATTCAATAACGGAACTTAGAAAAAATGGGGTATATCAATGAATGTCCATTATGTATCTGTGTATTCAAAGTGGTTAGGACAGATATATAGTTGCATTCTCTTAATGAATAGAATGATTTGTCCTAATGGTGTTTGTAAATAGGATCTCAAGTCCTCATCTTGTACAGCAATTAACCACTAAGAAGAATATATGCAGTGTATTGTTTGTTGAAACTGTACTTCCAATTTGATTTGAAACTGTCTCATTGCTATCTGTTTGTCAATAAAATTTTGAAGAAAAAAAAAGAATGTCAGTGAAATGGGAAAACTGCCCTGCACTGGAAATGAAAGTGTCAGGGCCTGCGTGAGCGAAGGGAGGAGACAACTAATGGACAGAGCAGGGCTGTGAGGAAGTGCTGTTTATGCCAGGACTGTGTAACACTCATGCAAAGTCACTTGTTTTGCCAATTCCATGGGAAATTGTGTGATTCAATTAAGGTCCATTTGTGAGTAGCTAGTTGCAGAAAGAAAAAGAAATGGACAGAGTGCTATCACAAGAGGCTTTATATAAAACAGAGCCATTCAGGAATAGTTGTCCAGAGTCTTTAATTTAAAGCAGAAACTCAAAAACAGAGGTGTTCATGAAAGGGGACATCTCATGGGAGCCTGTAAATACTATGCACAAGACAGGAGCTTACTAAAAATGGCCTTGTGCGTGTTATAAGCACTGGAGATCAATTTAATTAGAGACGATGTTGATACCTAAATTAGACAGTTGTTTGGTGATTGTTTCATTCAATAAATATTTGTTGTTTCATTAAGTCAATATACACAGCAGTCACTATTTTACACATAGGTGATGAGTAGCTACTGGTGAATGATACTGAACAAGATGTCTGCCTACAAAGAGCTTACATTCTCATCATCTGAAGAAACCATAGCAAGATCTGCACATGGGGCCAGTAAGATGGCTCAGCAGTCTAAATCTCCTGCTTAGACAAGCTTAGACAAGCATGCAGGGACCATAGTTCGATCCCCAGAACCACATGCTACACCAGGCCCACCTCCAGGTTGAGCAGAGCCAGCCACAAAAAAAAATGATCTGTGCAGGATCATGTTTCTCCTACAATATATTTGACAGGTTTGATGAGATGACTATACTGTTTCAAAATTATAGTTTACCAAAATGAAGAGGGGGTAAAACTTCTTTATTTCATTAAAAAATGGAACCTATTATTAGAAGTCTTCTCAAAAAAAAAAAAGATACTGTTGGCTTCACTAGTGCATTTTGCTAAACATTTGAGAAAGATACAACACCAGAGGATCGATCCAGGGAGTTCTCATTTCTCTAAAGACTATTATAAATTTAATGTTAAACAAAGACATTAGAGGAAAATGAAACAACAGAATCCTTCTTGAATAATCAATCACAGTCATTCTAGCAAAACCAAGTGAGCTAAATTGTGTACAAGACTGAAGGAGAGTTAAAGTTGGACGTGGGATCAGGCTAGGCTAGGAATGAACCTCAGCTCCTCACATGGTTGTTAGCTCCCCCTCTGCAGGAGGTGCTGTGTCGCCGGCTGGAGCTGAGTCCTCGCTCAGGGCCCTCTCCAGACTGGCGGGCAGGGAGTGGATCAGTCTCTCTCGGAAGTCTTGCCCCACAAAAACATAGAGCATTGGGTTGAGGCAGCTGTTGAAGAAGGCCAGGGAGCTTGTTGGATTGATGAGGGTGTCGATGATTTTGTACTTGTTCTCGAGCAACATCTCTTTGAGCCAGACAGTGCTTAAAAGGGCAACCAGTTGGAAGGGGAACCAACAGATGAAAAAGGAAGCAACCACAGCAGTGAGCACCCGAAAGGGGCGGCTGGAATTCATCATGCTTTTTCTGCGAATCTTGGCCGCGATAAGCCCATAGCAGATGGCGACCATGGACATAGGCATGCTGAAGCCAACAATGAATCGAATGATGCCTCTCGCCGTCAGCATGGCGAGGGCCACCTTCAGCTTCTCTTCGTTAGTGTCTCCCCAGGATGCAAAAGAGAAGGTACAGTATATATTTCCTTTTGGATCACTCACTGTGGTCAAGAAAAGAAACACTGGCAAGGTAAGAACTAGGGCAAGAATCCAGGGTCCAACAATCACTTTCTTGGCCAGGCTCACAGTACGGTGGTTCTGGGCCCACACTGGATGCAGGACACAAGTGCAGCGGTCCAGTGCGATGAGAGCAATCAGGAAGACGCTGCCAAACAGGTTGATGTCCACAATTATGTGAATCAACTTGCAGAGGAACCAGCCAAATGGCCATTTTTCTCCCATGGCCATAGAGACAATGAGGAAAGGCAGGGTGGCAATGAAGGAGAAGTCAGCTAAGGCCAGGTTTAGGTAACAGATGGTGGTGACTGTGTGTGCCATGCGGAATCCAGCCACCCAGATCACCAGCCCGTTGCCCAGCATACCGAGGATAAAGGTGACCGTGAGTACCACCAAGGGGAGTATCCGCAAAACAGCATATCCCGTTGATTCATACAGCATCTCTTCAGTTCTATTTGGAGGGATGGAGAAGTTGCCTTCCATGCTGCCCACACCTGAAACATTTCAGCAAAGGTCATTCGTCAAGGGTGGGTTTATCTAAGAGCATCCTTATTCCAACCCTGTATTCCCCTGCTACTACAGTTCCTGCTTTAACCAGGGGATCAAATCTACCAAACCTGGCAGCCAATAATACTATAAAATTAGAAATCTCTTGGATGGTAGCATGGGAAAGAAGGATTCTCCATATTGTCACAACGACAAGTATGTGTCTATTGGCAATAGGTCACATCCTCCATATTCTGTACAAAAACCCTTCAAAGAGTTCCTCATCCCTACTTGCAACACAGTGCATTTCATTGTCTCTTCTTGAAATTATTTTTGAGAAACAAAGAATTTGTACAGCTTCGGTGTTTTGTGACATACAGAGTATGAAGGGACAAATTTTGTAAATACTTGTGAAGTTCTCCTCAGCGTCCATGGACTCTATTCTACACAAGTACCAATTTGATGTACAAAGTTGCTCAATTGTGTTTATTTCTAGTTTTCTTTTCTTTCTTTTCTTTTTTTAAATAATTTTATTGAAAAACAAATATCAATGAGACAGTTTCACCTCAGATTACTGGCACATTTTCAATAACTAATACATTGCATATTGTTGTCTTAGTGGTTATTCATTGTACAAGATGCAGACATGATATCCTGTCTCAAACACTGTTATTACAAACCTCTCTATTCATTGAATTAAGAGAATGGAGCTGTATATCTATCTTATTTTGAGTATACAGATACAAAAAGGTTGTTCAGGGGCCGGGGAGATGGCTCAGTGGAATAAGTGCTTCCCTGGCAAGCACAAAGGCCTGAGTTCAATCCCTGGTTCAAAAAAAAAAAAAAAAAAGGTCGTTCCAGATTTCTATGAAACAGTACCAATTTTATGTTGGGTTATACACGTATTTTTCCCCATATATGTGTGTGTATGTGTGTATAAAAGACAGGGAAGAAGTAATATAAAGTCAACAGAAAATGGAAATACTTTTTAAAGTTTCTAATACTAGGAGAAGATATCATACAATGTCTTTTAAATAAATTGTAAGTCAAAGATACAGTATAAATCTTAGAACAAAAAT